GGATGGATGGATGGATGGATGGATGGATGGATGTTGCAGCACATGTCAGAGTTGTTCATCTCTCTGTCTTCTTCCCCTCTTTGACCATCAGCTCTTTGAGCCTGGTTTATTTCTGTATCTCTCATACCCAGCATAGGGAGACTAGCAAATGCTAGAATCAAAGTTTAAGGAAGTGGTTGATCACCAATGGCTCACATCTGAAATCCTAGCTACTCCAGAGAGCTGAGATCTGATTATTATGGTTTAAAGTTCTTGCAGAGGGAGAACTCTTTTATTAACCAGCAAAAAGCCAGACAGAAAAGTGTGCTAGCCTTGACAGCACCCTGGCCCTGAGTTCCAGCCCCATTACTGACACACAATAAAGTTCAATTAGATGAATACTGAATTGAAGAGAATGGTGGCAAGGAAAGAGAGAGAGGAACATTGTGACTAGGTGCTGAAATCCTCCAGAGAGGTGGAGGAATACATTATAGACTTATACATAAAAACTTAGTGGCATAAACAAATGGCATTGACTTTAAAGAGAAGATACAAGGATCCAAGAGGGAATTTGGAAATGGCAATTTTTCTCTTCCCATCCAGGTAGTTGTAGAAGAATGACCACAGCATGTTTTTCTCCTTTGACACTTCTTCCTTGCCCTGTCACCCAGCCCTCTCAATTTTTTTTTGTTTGCTTTGCCTCACTTCCTGTTGTCCTCATGCTTAATGTGATTCAATACTCATTTTGCTAATCTCTTTGTCTCTAGACCTTATCACTTTCGCTTTACTTGCAACAGCAACAACCAGGGCTAAAGATATTTTTTTAGCACTATCACTCAGTGCATCATACTTCTCCAGGTGCTCCCACTTGAGTATGAAACCAAATGAAAACACCACTCTTGAATTCGCCAATATCTATTCTCCAACCCTGTGTAAGCTGAGCTTTAGACAATATACAAAAACACCCTACATTTTTCAAGGCTTTTATTTATCCTTCTCTACCCATCCAGAGCCCACTTCATCAGAATTCCCTAAGGACTCATTTCCTCTATCAGACTACAATTAAAATAACTATTTCAGAAATACCTTCCTTCCTTTATTCTTTCATGTCTCCAAACTACCAAATGGCCATGTGTCACTCTGTATTACTCTATTAATTCTATCATGGAAATACCTCTCAAATCCATTGCTTCTTCTCCACTCTTTCTTCCTGGAGCCAGTATGTCTGACACAAGAGCTTTAAGAAGAATATCTAAGCTCACACCTGTAATCCTAGCTACTCAGGAGGCTAAGATCTGAGGATCACAGTAGGAAGCTAGCCTGAGCAGGAAAGCTCATGAGATGCATCTCCTACTAGCTACCCAAAAACTGGAAATGGATCCAGTAGAATACTAGCTTTGAACACAACATCACAAGGACAGCACTCAGGCCCTAAGTTCAAGCCCCAGGACCAGTACACACACACACAGGGTATCTAATGTCCCCAACACACACAACACAGACACATGTGTGTACACATGCACATGCATCCACATCCAATGTTTGTGACAGGCATTTCATATTCTTTAGGTGGCATGAAATTAGCTTATCAGTGGCTGCTCACATTTACACCTCTAGCTTCATTCTTTCACTCTCAGTTCCTAACCTGTATGTTCCTGCAATGTACTTATGTCTCTGGACTTCATCCCCTACCAGTAACCCCCACAGCCATCCCTGCCTCTACCTCCCCTACCTTCACTCTACATTGCCTATAAACTGCTACTATGCTTTGTTTTCATTTGGGGGGACTGAATCTAGGGCCTCACATATGCTAAGAAAGCACCATAGTATTTAGCTGTACCCCAAGCCCTTCTCCTATGCTTTTAAAAATATGTTATTGCAAAATAATTGCTGATTCGCAGGATGTTGCAAAGAAATATGTAGGAAAGCCCCATGCAGTCGTCCTCTGCTTTCCCCCATGCTAGCATCTTGCACAATATAATACACTATCGGCATCAATAAATTTGTTTTAGAGGGCTCAAGTCATTGCTCAAATGGGAGATCACCTGCCTGGCAAGCATGAGGTCTTAATTCAAATCCCAGTACAGCCAAAAAAAGATTTTGGTACAGTCTATTGATCTGATTCAGATTTCACCAGTTATACATCTACTCTTATGTGTATCTTTGCAGCTTTATCACTTGACTAACCACAACCACAATCAAGATACAGAACTATACCATCAGCATAAGGCTCTGTCATACCCATATAATCACATCCAATCCTAACCCCTGGCACTCAATAATAATCTTTTTTCTATCTCCGTAGTTACCATTTTATAATGTGATATGAATGAAGTCGTGCAGTATGTATTCTTTGGCCCTGTTTACCCAGCATAATTTCCTTGAAATTCATCCATTTTTTGCATTGGATCAGTAGTTTGTTTTTCTCAAATTGGTGAGAAATACCAGTTTGTTTGACCATTTACCTGTTGAAATACATTTGGTTTTTTCAAGTTGAGGCTATTACAATTAAAACTGCTATACACATTCACATAAAAGTTCCTACGTGAAAATAAGTCTTCATTTTTCTGGAATAAATTGCCCAAGAGTATAGTTCCTAGCTCATATGGCAATTCTATTTTTAGTTTTGTCAGGAACTGCTAAATTATTTTCTGGGGTGGCTATAACATTTAACATTCCCACCAGCAAAATATATGTGATCTAATTTCTCTACATCCTTCCCAGGAACTGTTGTTATCACTGGTTTTCATTTTATCCATCTTAAGAGTTGGCTTACTATAGTACTTCTCATGTTTTAAGACCTAAGAGTTATTGCTGTAGAGCCTTTTTTAACATCCTCTACAAATGTTGACTACTCTCTCTTCTGTTCTCTTCTGTGCTGTCTCTGATGCTTCATTTATCATGGTATTTTCATTATATATTTCCAGAGTCTCTGTCTTCCCCCTCTCTTCTGGGCTGCATGGTGATTCCGCTGTGACAGATTCCTTTCAATTCCTCCAGCATCTGGTACAGTTTCATGCTGGGCACATAGTGGCGCACTCAGCAAATGTATGCTAAGTGAGGGAAAGAATGAATGGAAAGAATAGTATTTTTACTTGCCTCTTCCGTGTCCCTCTCACCCCCGCCTTTGCTAGAAACCTTTTTAGAATAGACATAACACCTTCCTGTGTCTCCCAGCAGCAGCTAATAGGGTGCACTATTCGTGTAGATGCGCAATAAATGTCCTAGAAACTATTCAGGTGGCTTATCTTCCCTCTGCACCCAGGAGATAAGCACATAAAAGAAAGAATAGGCCCAAGAATCCTTGTATTAAAGATCATATGTCATAATTTTTGTAATATTCTTATAATCTCTATGATCACTTAGTATTTGTCTGTATAGATGAGAAATGAAAACAAAACAGCCCTTTGAATCAAAGGATTGTTGGCTGTAGTTTCAATTACTGGGTTGCATTGGAGAAGGCAGCATTTTCTATCCCTGAATTCTTTTGCCATTTCTGAAGGATCTGGGATTTTTCTGGGTTTTCTGCACTGGTGAAATTTGACATGTTGATTATGAGAGGGTCATTAACCTCAGAATTTTTGATCACTTTTTGACTCTGTATTTTCTCACTCTGAAGTCTGTTAATTTGCACTTGTTTATATGTCTTTGTAAGAGTTACTCAGGCCTTTGAGGACTGAGATATGTTTTGTCTGGAAAGTAGATTGTAAGCCCCTTGAGAGCAAGGACCTTATAACTCTCAGGAATGCATTCTGGACATTGTCAGTGTTTAAATAATGACAGTACTAAAAGCCTGACTAAAGTCACCTGTCACATTGACATCTTCCTTTTTATCTATCAGGCTTCTTACTATTGAAGAAAACAATTAGGTTGATTTGACAGCATTGATTGATTATATTATAAATTAGGCTCAATAATACCGATTGCAACTTGTTTTGGGGTGCTTTTAGATATACCATTTTAGATCAATTGTTACCGTTCCCTTCCTTATAATACTTGTTTGGTTGCATATGCATGGAGAAGACTATATTTCATAATCTTTAAGTTCCTTTGCATAATACAAAGTAAGGTGATACCATCTAGGCTTTCAAAGTGTGAATTTCTCCCGTCCATGTCCATTGGTGATAAACTCATTGTCATCTTAAATGACCAGAAAGAATTCTTCAAGCTATTCAGTCAATGGAATGTGTATGTTTCATTTCTACAGATTTTAAAATGGAATTAATGTGTATCTATGTTCCAAGCAGTTATTCAAGTTAAATTAATATGAATATTTTACCAAGCACCAGTGGCTCATGCCTGTAATCCTAGCTACTCAGGAGGCTAAGATCTGAGGATCAGGGTTCAAAGCCAGCCTGGGCAGGAAAGTCCAGGAGACTCTTATCTCCAATAAACCACCAGAAAATTGGAAGTGGCACTCTGGCTCAAATGGTAGAGCGCTAGACTTGAGCTGATGAGCTGAGGGGCAGGGCCCAGGCCCAGAGTTCAAGCCCCACAACTGACAAAAAATTAATATGAATATTTCAATGAATTCTGAATTCTGAAACAGAAGAGCAAATTTGTTCAATGATGAGGGTACAGGCAGGGGGATTTTTAAAAATCACGTTTATTAACATATAATTCACATACAACCTTATTCAGTCTTTCTGATGGAAAGCTTGATGTGATTAATAACTTAGGGGAGTGGGGTTTTTGTTGGTGTAAGTTTTTGAAGTCAAGGTCTGGTACTTGCTCAGCTTACTTGCATAGCTGGGGCTCTACCACTTGAGCCATTCCTCCAGCCTGGCTTTTTCTCAGATTAATTGGAAATGAAATCTTGTGTAACACCCCCCCCACACACACAGCTTTGAAAGGAAATTCTCCAGAGTAGCTAGGATTACAGGCATGAATCACTGGTCCCTGACAAGCCTGAGAGTCTTAATTATTTACTAATTCAGCTATACCCTGCTTGCCTCACTAACCCCTAAAACCAAACAAATCTTTGTTTTTCTGATATTTTGTGTCATTTCTCTTTTCTACAGTGTACTAAAGGAGGTATACCAAGTCTTTAATCCTACAGCAGTAGTCTTACAGCTAGGAGCAGATACAATAGCTGGGGATCCCATGTGCTCCTTTAATATGACTCCAGTGGGGCTTGGCAATTGTCTTAAGTATATCCTTCAGTGGCAACTGGCAACACTCATTTTAGGAGGAGGTAAGTACAAAAGAAAATCACCCTCTTCCTTATTTTATTGGTTGGTATGGATAAGAAGTTGGCTGTCTTGAATTGGATAGGACCAAAACAATCTGACTATTACATAGAAGCCTGGGTCAATGAAATCTGCCAGCTCCAAGTTTAGCCTGAGGAAGGACTGACAGGCTCCCTTCTCCTTTCTATTCAGCTCCCCATGTCAATTGACTCCTCAGCACTCTTCAGTCTTTTCCAATGCCTTTGCCAAAAGGTAATCTCTGTAACTGGGAGTATAGCTCAGTGATAGAGCATTGGTCTAGCATGCACATGATCCTGTGTTCAATCCTAGCATTGAAAATAAAAGATAAATGTTACCTCAAGATCTTAACAATAGATTTGATCCCAACAGATTGATCTATCTTCCTTTGGTGTGATCTTTGATTTTTACATTTTATACTCATCTTTTAGAACCATACCACTAAAATTCTAACTCTACTCATTTTTCAATTGTAAAATGTATGACTGGATTAAGTATACAAGGTGACTTCAAGAATGGTGCTCTTTTCCCAAAACATGGTTTTGTTATAATGAAGCAAAATGGAAATATCCAAAGAATTTCTTGGGTATCTTACCTTCCACATATACTGATACTTACTCTACTAAACAGAAATCTGGGTCTACTCAATAGAAGCACTTACTGATTTGAGAGGGGGACCTTGTGAGCCTTTATCCACCTCTAAATATGTCTTGCTTAGCATCTTCTGTCTCTCTTACATGGTACAATCTTTATTTTGCTGGATGAATAGATGGATATGTTAAAATATGGCCAAATTGAGCTCTAAATACAAAGATGATAGATGAGCTAATAATCTGTCATTTTGTCAATTTGTTGTAAAGTCCAAATTGGGGGAATATTGGGAAGTGGGTAAATCTATGTAAATGAGTAAACATTCAACACAAATATGCCAACCTAAGCTGGGCACCAGTGGCTCACAACTGTAATCCTAGCTCCTCTGGAGACTGAGATCTGAGGACTGTGGTTCAAAGCCAGCCTAGTAAGGAAAATCCTTGAGACTCTTACCTCCAATTAACCACCAAAATCTTGAAGTAGAGCTGTGGCTTAAGTTGTAGAGCAGCAGTCTTGAGCAGAAAAAGCTAAAAGACAGTGTCCAGACTCTAGTTCAAGCCCCAGTATTGGCACAAAAAAAATACTAACCTAGTTCTTTGGCCAATCTCTAACCCAAGAAGGACAAAAATTAAAGGTGCTTACACAAGACAACATTTTATGAAAAGCTAGTATGAAATATATTATCTTCAACTGCAGTAAAAGGTAAAATCAATAAGAATTGTATGACATAGTATTTTGACAGCACATTAGTAAAATGTTTACAAATCAAATATTATGTGTATACCAGTAATATCTTACTACTTAAGCAAAATCTATACTGACTCTTTTTGAAACTGAGTAGCCATGACAAGTAAGTCCATCTTAGAAGTTTAGATTTTTCCATGTTCAGTGTGTTTAATACCTATGCTATTTAACTATACTTCTCAGCTCTTATTAATACAAAGACAGTAGAGATGGCCACTTCCTTACACTTAGATAGACCCCATTCAGGCCTTAAAGACACAGTCTAGGGCTGGGAATGTGGCTTAGTGGTAGAGTGCTTGCCTAGCATGCATGAAGCCCTGGTTTTAATTCCTCAGTACCACATAAACAGACAAATCTGGAAGTGGCGCTGCAGCTCAAGTGGTAGAATCCTAGTCTTGAGCACATACAGGCTCAGGGACAGTGCCCAGGCCCTGAGTTGAATCCTCAGGATTGTCAAAAAAGACACATTATAGAAGCTCCTGTATCCCCAATATTCAAAAGTAGAAAAAACATGAAAACAGTACATAGATTTTTCCCAGTGTCACGACTAATAGTGTCCTCTCATAGTCTTAAAAGTCTGTCATTTTGGACAATAATCTATATGGTCATCCTACTGAAAATAGACAGGAATCTATTTCCTTTAGGCTATGTTGGGGGTTACGAAATCATTTTCATTCTAACTCTTACACTCTTGGAATTTAGCTAAAGTCCAGTGTTTCCAATGCTTACATTGCAGAATACATCTATTAAGCAAAAAATATGCTGATTATTGGTCAGTGTAATATGGCTGCTAGGTGACTATGACAGGCCCTGATGAGGTGGGTCAGAGAATCAATCAGCAGTCCCTTCTTCATCTCACTGTTTTTGATCTCTGCCACTAGACCTGTGTTTTGTGGTGGAAAGAAATGCTGATATTTGAAGAAGGAAGTCTTGCTGTCAGCACTTTCCCTTTCTCTTTCCTGTAGGCTTTTAAGACTACCTCTGTCAGTAGCTTTAAAATACAAATTGCATCCAACTGTCACTTTTTAGAATTGTTGCAAAATTCATCACAGAAACCTCTACATTAGATAAGTCACCTCCAAAGATCTGGGTTCTGGAATTGTCAGCCTTCTTTTTTTTTTTTTTTTTTGTCAGCCTTCTTGATATCTTAATGTGTGTGTGTGTGTGTGTGTGTGTGTGTGTGTGTGTGTGTGTGTGTGTGTGTACATGCATGCTGGTAGTAAGCCTTTTGCTCTCCCTTGGCTTTTTCTCCTCTTAGGCTGGTGCTCTACCACTTGAGTCACATCTCCACTTGTGTGTTTTCATGGTTAATTGGAGCTAAGAGTCCCTCAGATTTTTCTGCAGGCTCACTTTGAACTGAGATCCTTGGATCTCAGCCCCCTGAGTAGCTAGGATTACAGGAGTGAACCATCAGTGGCTGGCATTCCTGATGTCTCCTAATGGACTGAAAGGAGCTTGGATTCCTCAGGGGCATATTTGTTAGGAGACAAGAGCCTCTTTAATCTGTATTGCCCTGGGAATTCCCAGTTCTACGTTGTACATAATCTGATCGGTCCCCCAAAAGGTTGTCCACTATTTGGATTGCAAATATTATCACAGCATGTTTAAGTAAAATTCTGCATGTTCAGAGTTGTTTTTTAGCCCATTTATTAAAATACTTTTTTCTTCTTTCTTATCCCTTTCCCTCTCCTGCTGTTTTCCTAACTACACAATTCTTGATGGAGATAGGAGGCTATAACCTTGCCAACACGGCTCGTTGCTGGACATATTTGACCGGGGTCATCCTAGGGAAAACACTATCCTCTGAGATCCCAGATCATGAGGTAAGTAAGGCTCTGACAAGTCATCTCTTCTTTAAGGGGAAGAGCTGAGTCATTCCACCTAATCAAAATCACGTCCTCACCAGTCAATACCGTTTTGTTGAGAGACACTTTAATAACAATAACACACTGTCTTGGCAGAATAGTAGACTCTTGTTCCAAAATATCCAAGACCTTCTGCCTTCTTATTTTTTTTACAAAAGTCCTCAAAGGCCAACCAACTTTAATTTCTCAATTAATTACAAAGACTGTGGGAAGGGGTCACCTGTTCACACAAAGAACCCTTTAGAATATGTTCATATTTTCATCCCCTAGGCTCAAAAAGGAAAGGACTAGCTCTTAAGTGTGTAAACTAAGATTTCATCTAATTTTCAGAAGTTGCATAGGTGACGTCCCACAGGTTCTTGGGTGATATAGTCTTTGTCTCTCAATTGTCCCTGCCTAATGTAAAATTCAAGAACTATAAATTACTAACAAAGTCAAGTCTGGTGTGTCTCCAGCAATGTGGCCCACAGAGATTGGGACAGGATCATCTAAAATGTGAAATGTGTCATTTGTGTCTTTGCCATTTTCTTTACTCATTTGAGAGTGGTTTTGAAAAGCAAAGGTGTCTGGTACTAGTTTTCCTAAAACAAGCTAATAGAAGGCTATCTGGGACCTGAGAGTGTGCTTATAATGGTTTACGCAAAGGTGTACCATTCTGGTTCTCCACCTCCACACTGGCAGGCAATATGCTGTTACAGATCAGGATGTAGCTATAGACCTTGGACAGTATGACTTAAAATAACAAATCAGTGCATGCAGCCCCACCTTCTCCAATTATTTCCCAAAGATAAGGAATGGTGTTTTGGTTGTAGATAACATTTTAATGATAATTACCAAAAATAAACAAAACAGTATGAAGGCAATATGTTTTGTGTCACAAATAGAAGGTATACTATACTTTGAGACAATTTGCTAGTGTCAGGGTTAATAGGAGTCACTTTTGTTGACTTTCTTTTATTTAGTATTTGGAAGCTTAATTAAATACATAGGTAAGTGCTGTGAACAAATGTAATTGCTGTTATTGCTGTGAGGATATGTCAGATTGCATTGTAACTTAAAGCACTAGGACTTTAAAAACTGATCGAGTTATGTCAAAAAAAGAATTTTAGGATGTAGAAATCTGAATTAAGAGTGAGTGTTCTGTTCCAAGGAAGCAAGAGCAAATCAGAGGATTCATCCGTATTAAAAGATTGGTAAAATTTTAATAAACATAAATATTTCTTCTAGTGCCTGGAGAAACTATGTGCTGAACAAAGGTGGGGTTAGCTAGAGATTCTCTGCCTTTACACAGAATTATTCTGTAAGGTTAAATGTGATATAATACATGACAAGTGCCTGAGACCCAGGTCTTAGCACCTAACAGACACTTTGAAAATGCAAGTTCTCCCTTCCTCTTTGTAACTCCTCACTGCTTATAGCTAGATATTTATGACTCTTTCATTCATAAATTTGCCCAAACCCTTTGTGAAACCCTTCTGTCATATCCTTTTGGTATAAGAAATGTCAGCATCCAAGAAGGAACAAAGAAGAAAATTGAAATGACAGTCTTCCAGGTACTATAAGATAACATTTTAATGAAAATTGCCAAAAATAGACAACATGGTATGAAGGCATATATAAGTCTTGTGTCTCAGTATACAGTTGCACACAAGTATCCTTATGGTCCTCTGCAATCAGATCAACAAATAGTAGATCAAAAAATATTTGCTATGCACTCATTGTATGCCAGTAACTATGCTATGTTGGGTGTCTTGGAAGATGCAAAAGACAATTAGACTTTGTCCTCTACCTCATGCGTGTGGGGTAGGAGACTGATATAGATGTAGGGAGCTTTGCCAGCGGACAGATAGTTGTAATACAGAGCAGAATAAGAACCCTAGGATAAGGCTGGAGATGTGGCTCAAGTTCTACAGCATCTGCCTAGTAAGCTAAGTGTCAGGCCCTGGATTCAAACCCCAGTATTGACAGACAGACAGTCAGATACCAGTGGCTCTCATCTGTACTGTCAGCTACTCAGGAGGCTGAGATCTAACAATCTCGGTTCAAAGTCAGCTTGGGCAAGAAAGTCTCTTGGCAAGAAAGACTCTTATTGCCAGTTAACCATCAAAAAGCAAGAAGTAAGAGGTTTTTCCTTTGTCATTGTTGTTTTTAATGTACTATGTGATTTTCTTGTTTCTTTTGTATGTTTTCCCCCCATGGTATAACCCCTGTTGTCACTGTATTTGATTCCAGTACCCTGCATCTTGTATATACATTTTTCTAATTTAGGGAGGGGAAGGATATAGCAAAATGCTGAAACAAGGATACAGGTTGATCCATTGTAACAATGAGTAGAAGACACTATGTTGAAAATGAACTTTTCAACTTGGGGGGGAGGAGTTAGGGAGGTGGGAAGGGAAGGGATCGTAGGGGAAAACAAATGAGGGGGGGTAACAATGCTCGATAGGAAATGTACTCATTACTCATTTAACTGTAACCCCTCTGTACAGTATCTGTACAATAAAAAATATTTCAAAAAAAGGTGTGGCTCAAGTGGTAGAGCACCAGCCTTCATCAAAAAAGCCAAGCAAGGGCTGGGAAGGTGGCTCAGTGGGAGAGTGCTTGCCTTGAATGCATGAAGCCCTGAGTTCTATTCCTGAGCACCACATAAACAGCAAAAGCCGGAAGTGGCTCTGTGGCTCAAGAGGTAGAGTGGTAGCCTGAGCTGAAGAGCTAAGGGTCAGCACCCAGGCCCAGAGTTCAAGACCCACAACCAACAAAAAAAAAAAAAAAAAAGCCAAGCAAGAATGTCTAGGCCTGAGTTCAAGTGTTGATGAGATGGGAGGGTGCAAGGGGGAGGGGCAAGAGGGAGTGGGGAAGGGAGAGGGAGAGAGAGATAGATGACAAAGACAGCGGAGAGAGAAAGATGAGACAGGCAGAGACCAAGAGAAGAACCCTAAGATAGTAGCAGCAGTGACTGTGGGGATTTGCATCAGATTTAAAGGGAATACAGGAGATGAAAATGTGCTTGAGAAATGTAGTGTTGTCACGGGGTCAAACTATTGCAGCAGTCAGCTTCAGCCTGGCTGACCTCCGCACCATTTCTGTTTGTGTTTTTGCTCTTAGTCTTCAGCTTTTGTTTTCTTCTCCCCTGTGACAGTAGTCCTCCACCTCTTCCAACTGCCCTTTTCCCACTTCACTACTGTGCCTCCAAAAAAACCTTAACCTAAATCTAGCAAGCCCCTCCAATTCTTCCTTCATGTTCAGTTGTTCCTTCATTTATTAAACACATTTTCCTTGGGCCTCTACTACTTGCCAGGCCTTATTCAGGTCTGCATTCAGAGGTACAAAGACTAGCAGGATAAGACCCAGTGTGCTAAAAAACTCACCATCTAATAGAGTTGAGGAAGCAATGTGCTGTAAACTGAGACACATGAGGAGCATAGAAGAACTATTTCAATCATCCTTTGATCTGAATCATAGAGGTTGCTTGGGAGTTTTCTAGGTGGAATAAGGAGGAGGAAAGAATTCTCCACTGAAGTAACAGGTTGGAAAGGACCCATAGGAAGATGTGATGTGTAGAACATAGAATGTGTGAGAACATAGACTGTGTGATTGTCAGACGGATTAAAGCTTGAATGGAAAATGGGGGACTATAAAGTACCTTGAATGAGTATATGGATATTCTGTAGCCTAGTAATTTTATTTAGACTCCCTGATGTAGGCTAAAGTATGGCAGTTTTATATACAGATGGAGCCTCTCATCCAAAAATCCAAAATCTGAAATAACTTTCTTAGCAGCAACATGGTAATGTTCAGTATCAACAAATTTCCTAACAAAAATATTTGTTCAGATTTCTTTTGATGGATTAATTATGAAAACTGTGTCTCATTCATATTAGGAAATACATATAGCTATTAAAAGAAGTTTAGTTGATTTACATACAGAATGTATGTATGGATTTATTTGGGAGGAATAATAGTTTAACAGTATTAGTCTTTCAATCCATTAATTTCCTTTATCTTTCCATTTATGTAGGTCTTCTTAAGTTTCTAATTTTTATTTAGAGTCTTCATTAGATCTTGCATAAGTTTTGTTAAATTTATCTGCATTTAAAAACTGATTTTATCTTATATGGCTTTTCTTTTTGTGTATGTGTTCATCCTGGGGCTTGAAATCAGGGCCTGGATGCTGTCCCTGAGCTTCTTTTGCTCAAGGACAGCTGTCTACCTCTTGAGCCAGAGCTCTACTTCTGGCTTTTTGAGGGTATCTTATTGGAGATAACAGTCTCGTAGAGCTGGGCACCAGTGGTTCACTCCTGTAATCCTAGCTAATCAGGAGACTAAGATCTAAGGATCATAATTCAGAGCCAGCCCAGGCAGCAAAGTTTGTGAGACTCTTATCTCCAATTAACCACCAGAAAACTGAAGTGGCTCTTTGAGTGAAAGTGGTAGGGTGCTAGCCTTGAGTGGAAAAGTTCAAGGGACAGTGCCCAGGTGCTGAGTTCAAGCCCCAAGACTGGCAAAAAAAAAAAAAAAAAAAAAACAACAAAGAAAAAAAATAAAAAGAATCTATTCCTGCCCAGGCTTGCTTCTAACCTCAGTCCTCAGATCTCAGCCTTATGAGAAGTTTAGGATTACAGACATGAGTCATTGGCACCCAGTTTATGCCATTTTTTTTGGCGGGGGGGGGGGGGGGGGGGGGGGCGGGGGGGGGGGCGGGGGGGGGGGGGGGAGTTCCGGTCGTGGGACCTGAACTCTGGGCCTGGGAGCTGTCCCTCAGCTCTTCAGCTCAAGGCTAGCGCTCTACCACTTGAGCCACAGCGCCAATTCCAGCTTTTTTCTTTTTGCTTATGTGGTGCTGAGGAATCGAACCCAGGGCCTCAGGCATGCAAGGCAAGCGCTCTATCACTGAGCCACCTTCCCAGCCCCAAGTTTATGCCATTTCTTTAGTACCTCCTTGGGGTATTGGGATTTAA